CCTATCATCCCAGTGATCCAGAAGGATCACTGTCTGAGGCTCCTCCCGGTGGCCCTTCACCCTGGTCAGCACCCTTGGGGCCTTACCAGAGGTTCTGGAGCTGCACGGGTGTCCCCCACCCCCCAACTCTGCCCTGTATCTGCTCAGCCAGGTCTTCTTCAATCCTCGCTACCCCTGTATGCCCCTCTGCCTACTTCTAGGGAAGAAACAGAGGTCCCAGGAATCCAGAAGCTGGATTTGCACACCAGTCCCAGCACATCATAGTGCCTGTGCCTCTCAATACACCTGGCGCTCTTTTGGCTGATGGTCCAGATGGGCACCTCAGGAACATCTACCTAACTGGACCTGGTTTAGGGCATTCTGTGCCCATGTCCCGTCTCCAACTGGAGTGCAAAGCCCTACACCTGCACCTGTGTCAGAGGGAAAGGAGGTCTGCCTCCCAGAGAAGGTAGAGAGACAGGAGTAGAGCAGGGAGCTCTAGGTCCCCAGGTTCTAGGCTGACACAACCTCTACTGGCACCTTGATCTTATACTTCCCAGCCTCTGGGCTCTGAGAAATAAATTTCTGTTTATAAGCCATCTAGTCCATGGTATTTTTTTAGCAGCCTGAATGGAGTAAAACAAGAATTCAAAAACTATTAAGGATTATTTTCACTGAGAAGTACTTGGTTGATTAAGCACAAAGGATGGTGTAGTTCATGTCAGAATATTTCAAGGTTAAAATGAAAGAGCTTCTCTCCCTCCTATGTGACAAAAAGAGGAATGGAAGATTATTACTTTATTACAAAGCATTCTAAATAGATGATCCTTTGTGGAAAAGGGTGCAAAGCCATCTAGACATACACAGAGGTCAGGAAGGAGGCCAGAGAGCTGTGTTTCTTTCCTCTAGTGCCAAGGTAGGAATGGTGACTGGGACTGAGTCATTCTCTCTCCCATGTCCCGAGGTTCCACTTGCACAGGTTCTCCCCATGACCTTGTTTGCAATTGTGAGGCAGCTTTCCATTATTGTAGCAAGTGTCTGAGATAACCAACTTATTAAGATAAAAGGCATTCTGGCTCACAGTTCTGCAGGTTTTGGCTCATAGTTGGTCAGCCCTATAGTTTTGGGCCTTGGTGAGGCGCCACATTGTCACTGGGGTCTAGGTTCTTGTCTGGAGCCACAAAGAACTGATCCGAGAGACAAGGCGTGCAAAGCAAAGCAGCAAAGTTTATTCAAAGTGGAAAATAAAAGTAACGCCATCAAGGTAGAACCGGGGTTCGAGCAGCACAGCTCAAGAGCCCAGGGTTGTGGTCTCTCTGGCTTTTATGTGGCTCAGATCAGGTGGTGGGAGAAACCTGAGCATTCCTACAGGTGTGGTTAGGGTAATTAGCCAGATGTTATATAATGGATTTGTGGCTGTGCCTGTTCCTTCCCATAATTCACTTTGTTATAACTGCATGTATAAGATGCAAGTCATAGTCATGAAGCCTTAAGTAGTGAAAAATACCCAAAAGATTACTACAGGTGACAAGTGGGATATACTGGCTGTGCCTTCAGAACTGGTTGAAGCCATTATGGTCCCTTCCCCACCTTGCAGAATGCAGGAGACCACAAGAACTGAAGTGTTAACCATGAAAGGGGCATTTCAGGGCAGTCTGGGAGAGTTTGGGATCTTCTCTCGCCTTCCAGTCTTCACAGTTAACCCTATATGCCCTGGACTCCTCCATCACCATTGTGGCAGTAGCACATGGTGGAGCAAAGCCATCCGCCTCACAGCCAGGAATGAGAGAAACGAATGAGAAGAGGCTCGGGTCCCAGTATCCTCTGCAATGTCATGACCTCAATGACTGGAAGATCTCCACTCGGTCTCACCTCTTAAAGTTTCAGTGACAACAGCTGGGAACTGGTGGCTCATGCTGCAATCCTAGCTAGTAAGGAGGCAGAGATCAGGAGGATCTGTGTTTAAAGCCAGCAAGGGCAAATAATTCTTGAGATCCTATCTCGAAAATACTCAACACAAAACAGGGCTGTTGCGCACAGGAAATTAATGTGAGTCAACTCCCTGTATAGCTATCCTTACCTCAACCAGCAAAAACCCTTGTTCCTTCCTATTATTGCTTATACTCTCTGTACAACGTAATTAGAAATAAGGGCAAAATAGTTTCTGCCGGGTATCGAGGGGGTAGGGGGGAAAGGGACGGGGCGGAGTGGGTGGTAAGGGAGGGGGTGGGGGCAGGGGGGAGAAATGACCCAAGCCTTGTATGCACATATGAATAATAAAAGAAAAAAAATATATATATATATCAAAAAAACAAAACAAAACAGGGCTGTTGGAGTGCCTCAAGTGGTACAGCGCTGCCTAGCAAGCATGAGGCCCTAAGTTCAAACTCCAGTATGGCAAAAAAACAACAAAAAAAGTTTCAACGACAGTAAACTGGGGACCAAGCCTTTAGGCTTCGGGAAGATATTCTAGATCCAAAGTATAGCAGAAAGATCTAAGGATTCATAGCCACAGGAGTCCTGGGCTATGAATGTTTTAATTGATACATTAGAAAATGTTTAAACCACTTCTTAAAATGAGGTCACGATGCCAGCAGCTCATCTCTGAGCACGCATATAGGAGCCTTATCACCCAAAGCACACAATTTGAAGAAGCAAGCTCAGGGCCCCAGTTCCTGAAGCCAGCTCTCTACATACAGGGGCAAGGTGTCTCTAAGGAGCAGTTCTTCCCTCCTTTGCCACCATTTTGGGTACACAGGCTCTGCTTCTATCCTATCTGATCTGTTTTCTCCATCAATCAATCCCACCTGCCACCTCCTATTTCAGAAATCAGTCAACATTTTTGTTCTTACACTGTTTTGACAGCTGTTATGATCCTTGACCCATTTTCACTTTTCTGGGGGAAGGTGAACAGTTGTGTGTCCTCCCTTCCCAAGGCGGCTGCAATGCTTGACAAATGTCTAGACCTGTTCTGACTTACTTCCTGTCCAACCCAGAAGGGTCTTGAATGTGGCCAATTTTTCTTCAAAACATGTAGTTAAGTGCTGGAGAGTAACTAAAACATTGTTAAATAAAATACTCCATAGAAAGGGCATTACAAATACATTAGATCCTACAGCCTGCCTCCAAATAGCCCACGGGTACAAAAGATGGGCATATCTGCTGAGACCAGACCCCTTCCCAGCCAGAGTACAGTGTCTTAGAAATCTCTCACGTGTATCAACAGACCTGTGTTGTGCTACAGATAACGTATTAGAGGGGCTTCAAGGGAAGGTGTGTTAGAATGATTGCCAGACCTAGACTATGGGTTGTTGGATGGCCCCAGGACAAACCATCCAGCTAAGTACCAAGGTGAGGTCCAGGCAGCCACAGGTGTGCATGCAAAGTACTGCACAAGAGTAGCTGCAGGGGCACCACACCAACTTGGAGACAAGTCTGTGCTCTAAGGACTGAGTGAGGCCTAAGCATCACATGGGACTGCAGATCTGAGGAAGATAACACTTTCCTGCTAGTACAGGTATCTGGGAGCTCAGACAGCACTTGTGCCCCAAAGGCCTATGTTGAAGGCTTGGTCCTCAGCCTGTGGTGCTATAGGGACTTGGTGGAACTTTCAGGAAGTATGACCTAGTGGAAGAAGTTAGGTAACTGAGGAATGTCCTCGAAGGGGATATGGGACTCAGGCCCTTTCCATCTTTTATTTCTTGGCCTCTTTTGCCCCATGCTCCCACCATGATGTACTATGCTACCTAAAACAGGCCCAAAGCAACAGGATCAATTGACCAAGAACTGAACCTTCTGAAATGAGCCCAAATAAGTCTTTCTTTCTCCTTTTAGGTTGATCATTTCAGGTATTTTTGTCAGTGACACTAAACTAATAACAGGCAGTGTTTGGAGAAATTAGACTAGAACTGTGCCCAGGACTAATAAAAAGGGAGTGGATCCTGCAGTTGAGAATAAACTAATTTTTAAGCTCAAAAATGGACTATTTGCTTATTCCAAGGTCAAAGGAACTATCAATGCTTTAAAATACAGCATATAAAAATGTGTTAGAGGAAGAACATTGCTTGTTTAAATGATTTTTAAAAGAGTAAGAATAGTTCAGAATCTAGGTAGTGGGTTTATTGGTACTCACTGTAAACTTTTTCTCGGCCTTTCTATATGTATTAAATACTCAATGATGAAACGTCTAAAAGTGGGAAAATAACATTTTGTTTTGCAGTCAAATAGGTGACTGGTATGGGACTGAAACGCTCAGAAACTTGTATTTTTGTTGACTTTTTGGGAGGTAGGGCATGGGAGTCTGTGTTGCCCATGCCAGTCTTGAACTGCTGGGCTCAAGTATTCCTCCCACTTCAACCTCCTGAAAAGCTGGGACTACAGCAGTGCCCCACTGTGCCCAGCTACTCTCATATATAGTTTACAGCCCATTACTTTGGGACTATGCCTGTGCCCCAAATTAGTTTGATCTCAATTTTCTTTTTAAAGATAGAAATAGGTCAAAATAATACACAGATAAAAGCAGACCTTTGAAACTCTAGTGTGTTCTCAAGTATCCAGATTTGCCTGCCACAGAGTACAGAAGGAGTCGGGGCACTGACTTTCTCTTTTATTCTGCCTCTTGGGACAGCCATCCTCAAGTAAAGGCTGAGCAGAAAGGGTAGTGCTTGCCTCCAGTTGTGCTCAACCCAGCCTCATAAAAACGATTGCATGGTCTACTGATTCGGGAAATGCTGGATTGCACAGCACTAAGATGCTTCTACGGTGTTTATACACCAACATGGTCTGTCAACCTCCCTGGGACGGACACGATGCACAGACTCCAAGCTTGGGTCCACTGAAGGGAAAGTTCAAAATAAAATATTGACATAATTTTGTCAAAGGATGCCTTTTTTGAGATGCCTTTTTTGTCTTGCTTAGGATTTGAGGACAAGTGTTTTAAGAAGGAAAACGAGAAAACACTCCTTTGTGGCAACTATACTTTTCAGTATTATCTTTGAGAAATAGAAATACAATTTCTGACTATACAGAGTGGGAATTTTTTCTTTCTTTTTTTCCCCTCTTTGAGATGAATTATTACTATATTGCCCAGGTTAGCCCTGAACTCTTGGGCTCAGGTGACTCTCCTGCCCCAGCTTCCTGAGTAGCTGGGACTACAGGTGTGGACAACACTGTGCTGGCTTTGGAATGGGATTGAAACGTGAAGGTTGACCTACTAAAAAACAGAGCGGTATCCCAGTTAACTGGTGTCAGTATCAGCTATAAGTTTACAACTTCTTCCTCCCCATTTGCCTTGGACAACATTTTCCTTAACCTGATTTTTGAAAACGTGTTGGTGAACCTAAAGTACCATATATTCCTGGTTAACATCTAATTTTTCAGTTCTGCCTAGATTAGGAACATCATCCATCCAACTCGCCTCCTGGATGAACTCATGACTGGACTTACTGCACATCCTCTCTCCCTAGAAACGTCATCTCTACCCCTTTCCCATCCCCCAGAAAAGCAATCAAAGCACATGACCAAATTTATTTTTATTCTGAATACAAAGGAACAAGGACCTTACCAAAAGAGAGCAAAAGACATGAGCCAAGTGTTGTCAAGGAAAAGCATGCACAGGTCTGCTCTACAGGACTCTAGCACACAGGAACTTGAACCGCTCAAAGAGGTGGGCATGACCCACTAGCAGCATAAAGGAGACAAGAATGTCTAGGAAATGTCCCCAGAAGTGGAATTTCCACAGGCAGCGCCAGTGTTCACCTCGGCGAGATTCTAACCCAGGTTAATGGGAAACAAAATTTATCTTATGCAGATATGGGAATATAAAATTGCTGAGCCCTACCAGTTGTTCCATTTCTTATTTGCTATTAAAAAGATAAACAAAATTTAGTCATGGACACTGGGTGCCTTGATTCAGCTGTACCCTGATCCCATTTCAGGGGCAGCTCTGAGTGTGCTTTATTTTAAAAACTAAAGGAAGAAACTGAAGTTAAAAATGCAAAACAAATGACCTGGAGAGAGAATAAATGTTTGGACCCATGTATTTATCTTGGTTGTAAACAGCAGACATTGTGCTTTGTCGTCTCATTTAAAACAAGGACTTGAGCATAGGGAAGTATTGCAGTCAAGGACAGGAAGCCAGAGGTCGCAGGAGAGTAGTCACTGACTCATGTGGAAGCATCTGTGTCCAAAGTCTTTGTTTCTTCCTGGGTGTTTCTGTGGAAATGCCTAGAAGTCCATCGTTTAAGTTTACATAGCTTCTCAAATGCCATCCCTATTCCTCACCCTCTAACCCATATAAATACCCCCAGCAGAGCATGGATACCATGCCTTTTGGTGTGAAAGGATGAAACACTCCAGTGAGATGTCTGGATGCTCAAGTTCAATGAGTGACAACTTTGCAAAAATGCTTTGATTCGTTCTTTTAAAAATAAACACCTCCCCCACCCCCATTCCCGCTCCCCACAATACTACATAGAGTAATCTAGGTCTCTCAGCTATGCTGCTTTGTTCTTAGTACACATGACAAAGTCAGGTCTTAATCTGAGTTTAAATACACATAAATGTGACTAACTACTACGCAGAGCAATAATACTTCCCACTCACTGTCAACAATGCCCTTGACTACTTTTAAGATCCTGGGGTGAGCTATGATTCTTACCTGGGGATATGCATCTACAACCACATATTTATTCTAATCTTGATTCCATGGTCAGTGCAACCAAGTCAGTACTTTTCCTTTTTTCTCTCAGCAAGCTCCCTCACTTCAGAGCCCAGCACAAACTCGGTGGGTTTCTCAAACACACCACCACACAATCAGGCTCACCAAAGCTGGTTGTGCCCTACTAAGCCATCTTGGCCACACTCTCTCCCTTCAATGGTAGACATGACTTTCCAGGCAGATGTGTCCCTCTGCCCTGAAAGTGTTCGTCAAGCCACCCTCAGCGCTCCCTTGGAGACGGGTGTGGGAGCCCTGTGAGCAATGACATCAGGAAGGACACAGTCCTCATCTGATCTCCAAGAACAGGACACACTACATACACGCCTCCATGAATGCACTAAAAAAGGGGGAAACTTTTGTTTTCCAAGTCAGACCAAGAGCTCACAAAATGCAGTGTCTCAGTTTGGGGCCAGAAGTGATTTCTCACGTCTTTGCTTACTGAGCTTCAGATAGCTGCAGATGTACAACTTGGGCCTGATTCTTATCTTCATCTTGCAGTGGAAGTGACACATACTGGACTCTTCTCTATGTAGAGGGAAGCCTATTTTCAGGGTGTGAGGAGACAGAATAGTGTCAAAGGGCTTGTTCCACTCTGTTCATTCCTCTAACATCTTCTGGAAGAATGGGCTGGGGCAGCTGACAGCCGCTCTGTAGGCCTTTTCTTTGGACCCAACTCAGCTGAGCCCCTCCATCCTTTCCCCCTCACACGCAGGCTTTGCCTTCTCCTCCTCTTTGCCTCTCCCCTGAGGATCAGGTCATGCCACCCTAAGAATGCCAACCCTTAGGGACTGTCACCACACTTCCAGAGAGCACAGACTACATCAGAAACCAAGTCAGAAACAGAAGCAACAGAGAAGACACAGTGTGAATTCAAATATTGTCCTCCACAGGAAACTTGAAAGGAAGCTGTGCTTGCTTTGAAGATATCAAAGAGGAATTTTCCCTTGGACTGCCCCTGGAAGCAATTGTCCATGGGGATGAGGACAGCCTGAGAAAGGCCCATCCAGCCTCTCCACCTTCACTGGCAGGGTCCGCTACTTGTCCTTCACCACCTGTTCATATGGGGGTGGGGGTGTGTTGCAGTAGGAAGGAGGGGGTGGATAGGTTGTGCCTCCCTGGGGTGAATTGGGTTGGACTTGGAAAGCCATTGCCATGGTGTTCCCAACAGGATTCACCCCCAGTCCTCCAGGGTCGGTGTAATATGGTGGCCCCGGCTGCTGGGTTCCTGAAAAACAGACAACCACATGTGAGTGCAAAGAGCAAACCTATCATCTGGCACCCCTGGCACTCCAGGCAGGAGTGACAAGATTTTTGCCACATTATTCATTCCACCAATACACATCGAGACTCACATGCCCAGAGACAGTGGGCACCTGCATTTGGTAATAAGCAAGAACAACACATGGGGGCCCTGTCCTTAAGGACCTCAACTCCACTGGAGGGGCAGATCACTGACACACATCAGCCCCCAGAGCACGCTAAATTACAAGAGGATGATGGGAGGAGGCAGTTATAGGAGGAGGCACTTGGTGAGTGAACCCTGAATGCTGAAAACAAGGCTGCTCTATAAGACCCAGTGAAGCATGTGCTGAAAGATCAGCAAGGGAAGGTGTGCAGAGCTAAGGGTGAGGAAGCTATGCCACAGTCGGGCATGTTTTTGTGCCCCTACCTATGGGAAGAACTGAAGTTAACAACCTGGTCTCCTGACTGAACTCAGCATTATCATGAGTAGCTTCTGGCCCCCCAGCTTCCTCCACTCTGAACACACTTTGCTACAGATTGTTTCTTAAGTAAGGTCTCCAGGCTATCTTCTGAGTTAGCATCTTATGGGAGCAGGGAGCAAGGTGGGCCCAAGGTCACAGTCAGGGTAACAACCTCCAGGGTCATGCTGGCAGTAGAACTGGGGTTAAGACTCTATTAGCTGCAAGTTAGGAATTTTTATTTCCCCTGGATGCCGCCAGAGATCCTCTTCTCCAAGGCTAAGGATCTAGACTCAGGGTGACATCCCAGTTCCAGGCCAAGGTGCTAGACACTGGGGATGCAGACATGCGGGAACTGGTTGGTAACCCTGTCCCAAACCTGCCCTAACTCTGAGCTGTGGTTTTATAGCCTATTTTTTGGTTTGATTACTTGGATCATGTGGATAATAATATAGAATAATGAATGTGTAAATACTCCAGAAAAGAAACCAAGCAGCTTTGGATAGTTTATGGGTTGAGCTAACACAGAGGATTCTATGAAGAAGCTGGAGTTACAGGAAGACTGTTTCCCCAGGAGACAAAGAGGAGAATATTAGAAAAGGTACCCCTGTCAGTCTGTAGGCAGGTAGGATGTAGATAGGGGTTGGAGGAATAGTGCACATATATTTCTTGAAGAAGTCTAGGTCTAGTGATATACAAGATCACATGACTGCTAATCAGTGGCAAAACAACACATGAACCCAGTAGTGGAGGGGAAACTGGACTCTGCACTATCACATGGGTGTCTCACAATAGGACAATGGGATGGGGGAAGAAGTCTAGGACAAAGAGGCATAGAGAACCAGAGAAGAATGCAGACCATACTGTGAGTGTCATTCAATGATGAAAGGCTGACTACTGACAGGACCGTCATGACCCAGCTTTCCACGGGGCTGCATATCCTGTTTCCAGATGATGCTAGAATCATTTTGGTCCTTAATACCAGCATGTCTACATAATTTGTGAAGGAACTCCACGTTTAGTTAAAATTAATGACAATGTGGTAAAGATGTTAACACACAATGGCCCCTGCTACATGGGACTATTCCACCAACAGCCTCTGGCAAAGGGATAGCCAGGCATTTCTGCTTCCTAGACATGACCTTGCCACTTTCAGCCCCAGCTGACTGCACAGCATGAGTGAAGAGAAGAGGTGAGAATCTATTCTCAGGTGCAGAAGAATCTGGTTGGCAGAAGAGAATGGAAAAAGGCAGATTGAGAGGGCAACTGGCCCATGAAAAATGGAGAGGTTGCCAGCAACAAGGCTCACCCTAATTCCCAGGGAAGCTCCTATTCCATGAGGTCCACCTCTACAACCAGTCTCTCCTGGACTTAGTGTGGGCAGGATTCTGTGCTTCCTACTGACCTTACTGCCTATGTTCTCAGTGTGAATCACAGTCCACCTCTTGATTTTTCACATCTGTCTCTGGCCCAGGAAACATCTCAACATTGAGGCAGGTGTCCTAACACATTACAGCAGACATGGAACTCATTCTTTCTCCCATCACTTGGCTTGCTTCTTCTCCTATACTCAACACCACTCTTGGTGGGTGACACCAAACTCACCCAGTCACTCACTGGGCTGTGTAACCTCCTGAGAAGTAAAAGCCCTTCAAAGTCAGATTCTTGCCCACTTCAGAGTTCAGTCTCACTTCACACTGTCCAGCCTCATTCTTTATCTCCTCACAACAACCACACTGCCTGCATCCTTCTCTCTCCTGGGCCTCACTAGAAAGTATTTCCCAAATACCAAACACACAAACCATACTGCACACTTGCACACCACCATCCTCCTCAGCCTCTGATCTGGCTAATTCCCATTTACATTAAGTCTCAGCTCAGAAACCACCATCTCCATGAAGCCACCACTGAGGATCTATCAGCCCCTCTCTGGCTCTAACAGGTACCTATCCTCTTCTGTACAAACATACTTGTGTCAATACCATTGCCCCTGCTACAATGTAGTATGATCTTTTGAACTTTCTGCATGCAAGGATCAGGTAGGGTGGCATAGGATTGATTCACTCTGGTTGCCTCAGAGCCCAGAAAAGCACCTCGCACATGGCAGATGTTCCACAGACATGGAAGCTGAACGATTGAAGAAGTGATGAATGAGGATTTGGATTTGTGCTTTGTCGCTGCCCTGTTGTGCGAAGTGTGCCTATTAGTTTACTGAGACACACTTGCTCCTGCTATGACAGGAGGAAGTGGTTGCAATCTGTACCAAGCCTGCTATTCCTGAAGACAAGAGAAGCTTGAGGAGATGCCCCAACTGTGTCACAGGTGAGTGTGGGGGCAGGCATTCTATAGGGATGTGAATTGGGTGGTGTTTATAATGCCCTGATGTGGCCATTCACACTCATGCTGGAGTCCCAACTCATGGATTTTGTAGGAATCAACAAAAGGGCATATACTCCAAATTTGCCAATTCTTATAAAATGGGATTGAAATCTTTGAACCTGGAGGTAGAGCAGCATTTGGAATGTGAAAGAATCAGAAAAGACAGAAGGTGGATAAATTATGTATTAGTTAAGAACATGAACTCTGTGGGGAAAAATATGGCAAGTGCAGGTATGAACATGCTGTAAAGCCTGTGGTTAAGAGTACAGGGCATCAGGGACAGGCACTCTTTCCTTGTTGGGAACAGTTAAAGCCTCTCCCACAAGATAAGGAAAAAATAGCACCAATTTAGCCAGAGGCAGTGGCTCTCACAGAGGATATGCACAATCCAGACCTCTGCCAGATTTCTGCTTTATCTAGCTAAAAGTAATACACCTGACAAGACACTGACCAAGTTGATGACTCAGGCTCCCACACAGAAGGACAACTGAGAGAAGATGGACCCAGTTCTGACTGAGGCAGAGAGACTCACTTAGGGAAGTGAAACAGGATACCTTGATCAAATGTGTGAAATCCACAGAGTCAAGCAAGGCATATAAGACTAGGCAGGTGTTACAGAGCATCAGAAAGAGAATTTTAAAGACCTTTCCCAAAACATGTACATGATTCCATGGCATGAGACTCTGGAATCAGAAGCACCTTAAAAATCATAATTAGTAAACTCCATATCACAAATAAGCATTATGAGAACAAAACCTTATTCTCTGGCAGTTATTTCCTTTCAGGTCTTGAAATGTATCATTCCATGCACTCCATGCTTTTAGTTTCTGTTGAAAAATGTTGTTCTGATGGGTTTGTCTTTATAGATGACTTAGTGCTTCTCCTTTGCTGCTTTCAATATTCTTTACTTGTTCTAAAGAATCTAATGTTACAGATTTGAGATCTTTTCCGATCTTGTCTGTTTGAAGTCCTAAAACTCTCTTATACCTGGATGAACATTTCTTTCTCAAGATTTGGGAAGTTTTCTGCTCCTATTTTATGGAATGTTTTCTATGCCTTCAGCTGACACCTCTTTTCCTTTTACGCACATGATTCATAGGTTTGGTCTTTTAGTGGTGTGCCAAAGTCTTGCCTGTGTCATTTATATTTCAGTTTTATTCTTTATCTTAATCTGAATGTTCTAATATGTCTACATTGCCTTCAAGACCTAAAATTCTGTCTTCAGTTTGATACAGTATACTAGAGACACTTTCAAGTGAACTTTGTATTTTATTTGAGCTTTTCATTTCTAGAATTTCAATTTTTTTCATAATTTCTGTACCTTGGAGGGGTGCTGTTGTTTTTGGCAGTACGAGGGCCAAAAGTCAGGGTTTCATTCTTGATAGGCAGGCACTCTCCCATCTGAGCCACTTGAGCCACTCCACCAGCCTGTATTCTTTATTTCATTCATTTCTTCTTTTAAGGCCTCTTGGAATTTAGGCATTTAACCATGTCTTTTTTTGATTACGCTGATAATCTTATGATCACTTTTTTTCAATCTTTTGTCTGAGATTTCTTCCAGCTATTTTATTTTTGTTTGGTGATACTGGAGTTTGAACTTAGGACCTACACTTGCTAAGCAGGTGTTGTGCCTACTATTGTTAATGTTTGTTTTGCTGAACTGTTGAATTTTGGAAGAATCTTGTTGCCTTTAAAAGTTTTTCTTCTTATTTCTTATATTTTTCTGTTGAGATTTGTATATCTGAAGTCAAATTGTTGGTTAGAAATTTTAATTGCCTGTAGGTTTTCAACTGAAGTATTCTCAATGTTTAGGCAGGACAGTGTAGTGCCAGTATAATGGACTGAGGGTATGGCACAATAGTCAAGCATTTACCATGTGCTTAGTTAGGGTACCTGGCCTGATCCAGCATTGCTCAGATCTCAGAAAACTAGATGGAATCTCTTGAAGTGCTGTTGTCTATTTCTGGGCTGCTTTCAATACAGAAGCTTCCTTTCTTTCTGTAGTGGAAGCTGCTGCTGGCTACAGGGAGCTTTACAGTTTGTGGGCCCAGGAGCAGTAGCATCCAAACTGAGGTGTGTCTCCTGAATGCCTTGGAGAGTACAGGGAGCAAACAGAGCACTGAATTTTGCACTGGCTGGGAGAGAA